ACAGTATAGTGGTAATTCACAGCAACCACCCTGTTCATCTAACATGTTTTATTATTTAAAACAATTTATTGCAGGATTTATGGAACAGAACACAAAAACAGCAATACAAAAATAATTGCTTTTGGGCAATAAAAGCTAAATATTACTAGCATGGAACTGGATAGTAAAATTACAGTGTTTTCCCATACAACACCTAGCAACAGGTAATTAATATGTTACTTATAAAATATGTACATTGAATAAGTCTGCACATGAGCCTATCTCTGATACTGGAGGTCAGAGATTGTAAAAACAAATCTTACAGGTCATAGTGTTGCACTATTTCAGAGTACTGTCCTTGTGAATAGCAACAGCTACTCATGGAAAAATCTTGTGGCATTGCCACCGAGCTGCACTAACACTTGATATAGCTACAGAATACAAGCACCAAATGGATATGCTATAGAGAAAAGTGATGGGGCACCTTTTTTGTTTTCTGCACAAAACCAAATGTAAAGATACTGGTCTGTTTACATGCTCATAAAATTTATGCTCTTTTTTTTTTTTTGCACTGGAGCCCAGAAAGTAAGGAAGCTCTTTTCATGGTGGTTTACCATTGGAGACACTGCATGAACATAAAAAAGCTCCTGTATTCTGATTACACTTTGTTGTGTTTGAAGGGGATTACGTGGAGTTTTGCATGAATTGGGCATAAAATGTGCTCTGAACGTCATCTAAGTCACAACAATAGAAGAACACAGTCTGCTGAACATAATACTACACAAACATTAGATGTTGCCATGGTTTAATTGCACATAACATGTAAACATTCACAGTGCAGGGAGGAAAAGGTATGTGAACCTTTGGACTTAATAACTGGTTGACCCTCCTTTGGTAGCAATAACCTCAACCAAACGTTTCCTGTAGTTGTAGATCAGACCTGCACAATGATCTGGAGTCATTTTGGACCACTCCTCTTCACAAAACTGTTTCAGTGTAGCAATTTCTTGGGATGTCTGGTGTGAATCGCTCTCTTAAGGTCATGCTACAGCATTTCAATCGGGTTGAGGTCAGGACTCTGACTGGGCCACTCCAGAAGGTGTATTCTGTGCTGTTGCAGCCATTGTTTTGTTGACTTACTTTATGCTTTGGGTCATTGTCCTGTTGTATCACCCATCCTCTGCGGAGCTTCAGTTGGTGGACAGATGGTCATACGTTTTCCTGAAAATGTCTTGATAAACTCTGGAATTCATTTTCCCATCAATGACAACAATCCGTCCAGGCCCTGAGGCAGCAAAGCAGCCCCAAACTATGATGCTCCCTCTGCCATGTTTTACAGTGGGGATGAGGTTTTGATGTTGGTGTGCTGTGCCTTTTTTTCTCCACACATAGTGTTGTGTGTGTTCTTCCCAAACAACTCAATCTTGGTTTCATCTGTCCACAGTATATTTTGCCAGTAGTGCTGTGGAACATCCAGGTGCTCTTTTTCAAACTTCAAACGTGCTGCAATATTCTTTTCTGACAGCAATGGCTTCCTCCGTGCTGTCCTCCCATGTACTCCATTCTTGTTTAATGTTTTCCTTTTTGTAGATGTGTCAACAAAAATGTTAGCATGTGCCAGAGATTTCTGTAGGTCTTTAGCTGACACTCTGGGATTCTTCTTTACCTCATGCAGCATTCTGCGCTGTGCTCTTGCAGTCATTTTTACAGGACGACCACGCCTAGGGAGAGTAGCAACAGTGCTAAACTTTCTCCATTTGTAGACAGTCTGTCTTACCGTGGACACATGAACATCAAGGCTTTTGGAGATACTTTTGTAACCCTTTCCAGCTTCATGCAAATCAACAATTCTTGATCGTAGGTCTTCTGAGAGCTCTTTTCTGCGAGGCATGGTTCACATCAGACAGTGCTTCTTGAAACCAGTAAACCCAAAACAGGTGTGTGTTTTTTAAGGGCAGGACAGCTGTCAGCAACACATCCAATATCATCACACTGATTGGAGTCAAGGTTGGCTGACTCCTGGCTCCAATTAGCTCTGGGAGAAGTCATTAAGCTAGGGCCTCACATACTTTTTCCTCCCTGCACTGTGAATGTTTACATGTTATGTGCAATTAAACCATGGCAACATCTAATGTTTGTGTAGTATTATGTTCAGCAGACTGTGTTCTTCTATTGTTGTGACTTAGATGACGTTCAGAGCACATCTTATGCCCAATTCATGCAAAACTCCACGTAATCCCAAGGGGTTCACATACTTTTTCTTGCAACTGTATGTGGTATGACATCCTGATTATTGATAGACAGGGCTTTTTTTCAACAGGAACGTGGGGGAACGCAATTCTAGCACCTCCAGCACATGCTGGGGGGGGGGGGGAGTCTATTGCTTCTGGGAAGATCTATTGTTGCTGAAGAGGTCTATTGTTGCTCGCTGCAGGAGATCTATTTTACTGCTTTTCTTGTTATCATTAACAAATTCCATGTAAGTTACTTAGCACCACAAAATGATACTTGGTTATGTAGTCTCTAAAAGGGGCAGTACTTGGAGGTGAATAGGGGATAGAACCAAGAGACAGTGACCTGAGGTGGGTAGGGGATGGAGAAAAGGGGTGACTCCGAAGGAGGGAGTACTTGCACCTATTTTCTGAGAAAAAAAGCCCTGTTGATAGATTATTACAAAAAACAGACCATGGGTGTTGGCAGGTGCATTAGCTAGTCTGTAATTTGGTGTTAGGTTCCCTTTTAGGAATAAACTTCCTTTGGGTGAAGTTGGTGCCCATATAAGGAGCCAAACACCCCAGAGCTAGTTGGATGTAGTCAGCTACTGCCAAGGGCCCTAGACAGTGCTGAAACTCTGGGTGAGGTAGTTTAATCCCCAAAAAGGACCGACTGTACTCACCCTAACTCTTTTATAGTCTGCTGTGGGCTGTGAGCAGGATACAAAATGCCTTTTAGGCCAGGCTAAGAGTCCTATGTAGTGAATGTGTCATCTGGGAGAGTGCTGGGTAGAGATAAAGAATGGGACATTAGGAGAGACTGGTACACTAAAGAAGGCACCTTGATTATACTTAGTGGTGGAAGCTGTATGCTGTGGACATAGTATACATAGGAAGGATCCTAACTCTTGAGTGCTCCCAAGGATAGAAGAGGTACAAAGGTGAAGATGCATTACACATTATGTGCTGGCATTCGGTGCCTAAATGACAGCTACAGAATGCGCGCTCTTGGCATTCTGCGCTGGTGAGTTCTGTCAGGACGTCAGAGTGATGTTAGAAGTTACAGCCATCTTTCAAAAGTTATAATAAAATATGGAAAATGTATTTTTTGTGTGGCTATTCCTTTATTATTAACTATTATGGCCTATGACCAGAAATGTTGTGAACAGGCCTTTGGTAAGTAGTTTGACACAATATGGCGAAGGGTTACAACTACCAGCAGGAAGGTAGCTGTCCTATCCATGACAATGCGGGGTGGGGACTTGCACAGTTTGGCACACTCAATTGTGTGCTTCCTTACATGGGGTAGGTATACTTGTGAAATGCCCAACTCCGGGCACAAGATAAATCAAAATACTACTCTTGCAGTGAGGCCCCTAAAAGAGGCTCATTCACTCAAGGGGATAGATGAAGTGCCTGTATTACCTACAATTTCCTCGATCTGGCAGACTCCCAACAGTTATCTTACCAGTCCACCCCAGTGGCCTCTCTAAGGCATACTTCCTCACAGAGTCCTGCATTTTACGGGATGACATTGAGGACCTACCCATAGCCGAGAGCATTAGGGAAAACTAGAGAGCCCTAGAGCCTCCCTGCCAGAGTGAGAAATATGGTATCTAATATAGTCTCTTCCACTACTCCCCTCCCTTGCGGTAGGATGTAGCATCTCACTGCAAGGGTTTCTTTCTATCCTAGAGTTATGCATTAAATGAGGGATATAGGTGCAGAGATGCCTAACCTCCCATATTTGCTGGTATAGTCCAGCATCTCTGTACTCTACCCCCCTGATGCTGTGTTTTGGGTTATGTCCCGAGCTCACAGCATCAGCTTAATTTTTGTAACTGAGCACTGAGCATGTGCAGTAACCCAAAAAAGGTATTAGCTGAGGGAATCTATGATAGGACCACCCAGAAAAAGGGTGTGACCTAGGTGAGACTACCTAGAAAGTGAGCTTAACCTGGGTGGGTTTCTCTGAAAGGTGGGCATGTCAAATGTAGGCCATGGACAGGTGGGACAGCCTCCCAGGGACTAGGAGGATGTTAATAAGTATGCAAGTGGCATTTCTACTGATGAAAATATCAAAGAGACCCCTTCACCAAACCATTTATTTTAATGGCAATCTTTTTATAGGATTATTTCTGGATTTAACATATTTTAGGCATATTATTTACCAGAAAACTGCTACTGGGTGCTGCCATCTTGGACGTGATGTCAGCAGTCCCAGCACACTCAGAACTGTCACTCAAGAGACACTTTATAGTGTTTGGCTTTATTCCTCCTGACCCAGATGCTACATAATGCTGTTACAGTACTTTCTGGGAAAGGGCTGAAATGGGAAGTTATTCATACCTGAAATATTTATACCTCAAGAATAATTTAAGCAGACCTTCATCTGCATCACTTAAAGCAGAACTCCAGTTTTTTTCTTTTACTATGCAGTGGGGCTGCCGGACCGCGCAGGGGGGGGGGTTGACGGGTCAGGTTGGTATGTCATTGGTGTCCTCTCCCCTAGAAGAAAATGAGCATTTAATCCATGCAGTGCAGGCACTGCCCCACTGCACGGGCAAAATTGTTTTTTTCCAGAAATCTGCTTTAAAATCTACTGGGGGGACAAAAATGCTTTTCTCCAAGATCTTGATGTGTACAAATGGGATCTCCCTGAAAGGCACTGGTGATGTTGCCTTCCCAGGGGGCATCAGTCAAGCTCTGACTATGTCACAAGTGCCTCAGTGAAACCAGAAGTAGGATACATGTATACTAATTAGCCATACCATTATGATGAGCCGGCAGGGGCAGACTGACAACTCATGGGGCCACCAGGCAATAGGGGATCATGGGGCCCCTGTGTCCTTGCCCACACTCAAAAACACACCCACAAAAGCCTATGAAAGGTACCTGTCAAGGTCCTACCTTTTACCAGAGGTTATGTTTCTCCATGTGCTGGCATCCATCTTGGATTTCTGCAGAGCATGGTGGGAATCTTTTATGCCTTCAGGCCTCTGAGGTCCATCCCCCAGAGGGGTGTGGCTGATCACATATAAGCCTGTGGTCCGCACATGCCCTTTGCACTTGTGTCTTTGTGTTGCTATAACTCTGTTCTGACTCTCGTGACTCTCCTGGAATCTGACTCGGCTTGTGACCTGACAATTCTTTGTGTTCTCCTTTGATCTGACCCTCCGTTGCTGAACTCGGCCTGTGACCCGTGATTCTCGTCTGCTGTCCTGTACCGTTTTGTCCCGTTGTTGTCGACCCGGCCTGCCCGACTACTCTATTGTCTTTTCCACCAGCTACACACCATTGGCGGTGGCCATTACCGCAACTGAGGTGTCTCGGGGGCCGCGACCTGGTTCCTGGCTGCGTCAAGTCCGTCCCCACCATCAGGGGCCCTGGTGAAGGGCAGCCTGGGACTTAGACTCCGCGCCCTGGGGGACTTCGGTCTGTGGGTGGTGGTTGTCGCCAGCCAGTGCGTTACATTGTTATTGGGCCTGCCTGTCCGTTCCTAAGCTCCTGCCCTGACAGTACCAGGGGCATCTCATGGGGCCCCTTACTTACCCACGGCCCTCGGGCAGTGCCCGAGTTCCCAAATGGTCAGTCCGTCCCTGTGAGCCAGGCTCCCTTTTGTTGCCAAAGATCCCTAATCCATTGAGGCTTGGTTTCCAATAGACCTCTGAAGGTATGCTGTGGTATCTGGCACCAAGCCATCAGTAACAGAGCCTTTAAAGTGTTTGTTACCCCAACATTTCATATTCCTGATATGTGTCAGTTGTACCATGTACTTACAGTTTTTGCTTCCTCTGTGTGAAATTCTTGCTGATCCTGCCAGTCCCCTTCCTTCCTATTCCAAACGGACCACACTAGGCATTCAAGCTCATACATAGCAGCGTGGTCAGTTTTCTGGCTGTGCTGCGGGAACAGCCTGTCTGTCATGGTCTGGGATCAGCCTATAAGGCCAGGGGCTGTAGCAATAGAGAGGTTTACGAGTATTCGGCTGAAAATATGCAAGCAGATCCCCCTAGCGGATGACGCAGGCTCACCTGATGCACAGGGTCTAAGCACTAGTTGATATTCTCCTGATGGTGGAGATGAGTTTTGCTGCATGCTAGCATCAGGTTGTGATGCTCAGGATCGCCCCACCAGTAGGTGAGCAAGCTGAGGTCATGTAGCAGGAAGGATGAAGTAGAAGTTTAGTCAGTAACCAAACCAAAGAAGCAACTGGATGGGAACAAAGAGAAACGTAGTCAATGAACAAGCTAAGTGTTGATAACAAGTGGTAGTGAAGATAAGGACTGGAGAATGTATGCAAGGAGCAAGATATCAGCTGGAGAGAGAAAAATAATCTGACAAACAGGAAGTGCAGAGACTTCCTGATAGCTTACATCCGGAAGCTCATGGGAGGAGCAAACAGTTCAATGCTCACCAGAAACAAGCTATAAAGCAAGGCTCTTTAAAAGATCAGGCAGGCAGTGTCCAACATCTCAGAATGCAGAATGAGAAGGGCTACAGCCAGAGGTTCCAGGTTCAGATCCAGACTCTGAAACTGCCTGTCCTCCAATGGTCAGACTTGTGCTGACGTGCCCCTTGCACAGCCATTCACTAGTAAGATAGGTGTACTGCTCTTTCTGTGCATCTTGCTGACATGCCCCCTTGCAGTCTCCAGCTCTCCAAGCCCCTTATGCAGCTGAAAACAGAGATTATGTGATCACTAATAAAAATGGTATAGATAAAAACAAATGTTTCCCTTTCATTTTTATTTTAAACTGAATGAGTTATTTTACAAGGTAAAGGTTCAGATATACTTTCAGTCCTGAAAGTTGTGCGGTGGAGCCTTTTATGGATTGGACTTGTTTTTCCAGCTCATTCCACAGATTGTTGATGGATTGAGATCTGGAGAATCTGGAGGCTAAATCAACACCTCAAACTTGTTGTCGCATTCCTCAAACCATTCTTTAGTCATTTTTAGTGTGTGGCAGGGTGCATTATCCTCCTGAAAGAGGCTATTGTGATCAGGCAATACCATTTCCATGAAGGGGTGTACTTGGTCAGCAACAATGTTTAGATAGGCGGTACGTGTCAAGTAATGTCCATATGAATGGCAGGACCAAGGTTTCCCAGCAGAACATTGCCCAAAGCATCACACTGCCTCTACCGGCTTGCCTTCTGTCCTTATTGCTTCCTGGTGCCATCTCTTCCCCAGGTAAGTGACGCACATGCACACTGTCATCCACACAATGTAAAAGAAAATGTGATTCATCAGACCAGGCCACCTTCTTCAATTGCTCTGTAGCTCAGTTCTAATGCTCACATTCCCATTGTAGGCACTTTTGGCTGTGGACACAGGTCAGCATGGGCACCCTGACAGGTCTACGGCTACGACGCCCCATACACAACAAACCATTTTTTCTGCTTTCAAACTATCAACTGCAGAGACAACATGTTCACTTACTGCTTAACTGCTTCCCTGCTGCCCTATAGCAGAAATACTGCTACTGTTAAACAGCACACAGTTAACCCTTTGATCCAGGGGTGGACTAACAACTCATGAGCAGGGGCGGACTGACAACTCATGGGGCCCCCGAGCAATAGGGGATCATGGGGCCCCTGTGTCCTTGCTCAAACTCAAAAAAGCCTATGAAAAAGGTACCAGGGGCATCTCATGGGGCCCCCTACTGACCCCAGGCTCTCGGGCAGTGCCCGAGTTTCCAAATGGTCAGTCCGCCCCTGCTCATGGGGCCCCCGGGTAATAGGGGATCATGGGGCCCCTGTGTCCTTGCCCACACTCAAAACACACCCAAAAAGCCTATAAAAAGGTGCCAGGGGCATTTCATGGTGCCCCCTACTGACCCCGGGCCCTCGGGCAGTGCCCAAGTGCTCGAATGGTCAGTCCGCCCCTGCTTTGATCACCCCTGATGTTAACCCCTTCCTGCCCAGTGTCATTACTACAGTGCAGTGCTTTTTATTAGAACTGATCACTGTATTAGTTTTATTGGGATGTCAGTTGCAGTTAGTCATTTCCCCCCCAGTGTCAGAATGCTCGCCGCTGTCCTGCTATAAATCGCTGATCGCCGCCATTACTAGTATATAGAAAAAAACTAATTCCAGTAGATATACCACCATTTGTAGATGCTATAACTTTCACGTAAACCAATTAATTTACATGTATTGGGATTTTTTTTAGCAAAGACATTTAGCAGAATACATTTTGGCCTAACTGTATGACAAAATTTGATTTCTGACATTTTTTTTACTGGATATGATGGCCTTTTTTTGTTTATAGTGCAAAAAAAAAAAAAATGCCCAGATGATCAAACACCACTGAAAGAAAGCTGTATCTGTGGAAAAAAAGGGACATAAATTTCATTTATGTAGGGTATTGCACGACCACGCAATTGTCAGTTAAAGTAACGCAGTGCCGTATCGCAAAAAATGGCCTGGTCAGGAAGGGGGGAAATCCTCTGAAGGGCAAGTGGTTAATATATCCCACCAACTTTCAGATGCCATTGTAATGAAATTATCAATGTTATTCATTTAACCTGTCAGTGAACATTATATTATGGCTGACTGTATGTGTAAGTAAAAGATTAAGGGCTAATTCACATTAGATGCAGTCCAGTGCATTTTTTTCCTGCATCAAAAAAGCATGCACAGTGTTCTCCATGTATTCCAATGGCCCTAGTTCATACCAGTGCAGCCATTTCCAGTCAGTTTCGGGGGCAAAAAAAAAAAAGTAGAACATGCTGCATTTTTTCTGCACAAAACCATAGTGGAACATGGCAAATTGCATCTAAACTACACCCAAACAGAGTGTGGTGTGAACTGTAAGCAAAAACATATCCAGAATGTATCCAGAGTAACTGTTTGATTAAAAAATTACTTGCTGTTGATTTGGGATGCAAAGGTATGTGTACCATAGATTTTTAGTGTAGGGGGAACTTTTAGCTTTAACAGGGATGTATGAAAAGTCAGTCATTATATTAAAGTATGGGAAGAGAACAGTCATATATTTAATAACTCCGGCCTGACTAGAGGAATTATATTATCAGCCCATCGATGCATAGAACTCTAAGAGATTATTTTCCAGTGCACACAAGCAAATAAATGTTCGGAAATTGTACATGTGGGTAGTTCTGCAATTCTCAGAAATCCTATGGCAGCACAAGAACAGTTTACGAATCACACTTTTAGCATTGTTAACAATGGTGTTCTTTACAAACATTTAAACAGAATTTGTTACATTTTGATACAGGAATAGCCAACGTGTACAATATTACATACAATTGCATTCGAAAAAAAGGGTTGTTTCCTATTTATTTGGTTTGAGCTAGGTTTTCTCCACCCTGATAATAAAGTGTGAGATTAATTTGTTGCCTTGGCTCATATTAAGAAAAGTGTTAATGAGTCACTAAACAGAAACTGCTCATATCTTTGAGTAAATATACACTCAGAAAAAGACTGGCAGTTAGAGCACAGCACACATGATTTTGTGTTACACGCCTTAATACAGGTAGCATCATTAAATGCATTTATTAATAATTTACATATATAATATGTAAAACAAAAAAAAAGGAAAGAATAAAATGATGTTAACACAATCACATAAATGTAAAAAAAGTTATTGTATAGTATTATTTTCAGCACTATTGCGCAAATTAGCAAATAGAACAGGAATACTCTGCAAAGTTCTGAATCCCATAGCAATCAATCAATTGTAACTGGGGGCAGGGGCGGACTGACAACTCATGGGGCCCCCGGGCAATAGGGGATCATGGGGCCCCTGTGTCCTTGCCCAAACTCAAAAAAGCCTATGAAAAAGGTACCAGGAGCATCTCATGGGGCCCCCTACTGACCCCAGGCCCTCGGGCAGTGCCCGAGTTTCCAAATAGTCAGTCCGCCCCTGACTGGGGGATGCCTTCAATGATGAGATTGTTTGGTAAGAATTCCGATTATATTGGATGAATATGCCAACCACATACTGGGGGAGGCAATTATGAATGCATGCTATCTCAAAAACCAACTACCAGGAAAATCAACGGAGAAAACTCCATATGAACTGTGAAATGGAAAGGACCAAAATCTGAACATTTTTGGAAGCAAAGCCTGTATACACATCTCAAAAGAAAATGTACAAAATGGGATGTTTGTGCAAAGGAAGGTGTACTTGTGGGGTACAGTAAATCTCAAAAGGGTAACAGAATTCAACACGAACAAGATATTGATCAGTAGAAGTGTTTGTTGATGAAATGTTAGTGCCTTCAAAAATTAACAAACTAACACAAACACTTCAAACTGAGGGAAATTGCACATCAGTGCCACGTGAAAATAAAGCACAAAGGAACACAGAAGTAGCAATTATCACAGACAAAACAACAACTGTGAAAGAAGAAACCAGGCCACAAGAGGCTTCAATCAGGAAATTCACCAGAAGCAATAAAGGCATCTCAGTCTAACGTCTGTCCTATGTTGCTCACATAGCATTAAAACTAGAGCCAGATTCATGGGATGAGATGCAAAGACTTTCAACCCATGAGGAACAAAAGAGGATCAAAACTGTAAACCGAAATGAGACTAGTATAAGGAGTAGCTGTTGAGTGGGGGTGTTGGAATACAATGTTCATGTATTTTGTGCAACAACTACATCATCAACTACAACCAATAGATGGCAGTGTTTATAAGTTTGTAGCTG